CTGGTTCTATAATTCCTTCTGCAAGGAGTCGGTCTAATTCTTGGTCTACCTTTTCTTTCATGGCATAAGGAAGTGGTCGTGCTTTGAGAAACACTGGCTTTGCGTCTGGTGGAATGTATATCTTGCCAACCATACCCTTGATTCCCCCTTGTTCCTGGAAAATATGTGAGTATGTCTGGAGCACATCCTCGATGTCCTGGGGAGAAGATGATACATTGTTCAGTTCATCAAAACGTGTCACATTGAACAGTCGAATCCATTTCTTCCGAACAGACTGGGTCTCTCACCTCTGGCTACAAGGAGTTGTGATGTAACTGTTTGGTTCTGGATGTGATGTTTACCTCTGCACATCCTATCAAGTCCACAATGTTTCCTGTGTAACCCCGTAGGAATTAATGAGCATTCTTTGAGCTGAGGGGCTTGTTCTGTCTTCCAAATGCTCTTGAACGTTTTAAGACTCATGATGGAAATACTTGCACCTGTGTCAAATTGCATGGTTACGGACTGACCGTTGAGATGTACTGTTATCATGATTGGTTGAGACATTGGTTCACTTATGGTGTAAAGTTCATATTCTTCTTCTGCTTCACTTATGTCTGACTGATCGACATTCTCGAGAAGATTTGCTTGGTGGCCCTGTCTCCGCTTACGTTTGAAACTAGCACGTTTGATATGTCCTTTGATGTGACAATAACTGCACTCCACATCCACATATTTGCATTGCTCAGGGTTATGTGAGTCGTCTCCACGCCTAAAGCACTTGCGTCCTTTCCCCTTATCATGTGAAGAATGAGGTCTGTCCTTCCTATTGAACTTGTGTGAATTGTCTCTTGGTTTTGAATACTGTTTCTTCTTTACAAAGTTTATGTCTGCAGATGCTAGATCTTTCTTTCCTACTGGATTCTGAATGTCAACAATATTCTTAGCTGCCATCTCCATACCTTGAGCAATTTCTAAAGCACGTTTGTAGTTTAATCCTGCCTCAGACAAAAGTCTCTTCTGAATTGCATCATTAGCAACACCACATACTATCCTGTCCCTCAACATTTTCTCCAATTCTGTCCCATAATCACAATATTCGGCTAAGCGCCGTAGTTCTGCCACATATTCAGAAATAGACTGACCTGGCTGACGAAAGCATGTGTTGAATTTGTACCACTGCACAATAGCCGACGGTCGTGGATCGTGATGAGTTTGAACAACTTCCACAAGTTCTTCAAAAGGTTTATCCTTTGGCTTGGCAGGAGATATCAAATTCCGAATGAGTCCATATGTCTTTGGTCCCACACAACTGATGAGAATTGACCTCCGTATGTCAGCGTCGTCAATCTTGTTTGCCGTGAAGTGTGCTTCGAGCCGTTCGGTGTAACAAGTCCAGGTTTCCACAGCTGCGTTAAATTCTCCAAACTTACTGCAGTCAGACATCGTAGAGATGGTTGTAGAGGTTTCACCTCGTCGCCAATTATGTCAAGTATTACACTCAACGGGGAGTATAACAGTATTTTATTCACGTTTGTGTTAGTACACATGAGAGCACATGGTCGCCATGCTGTTCGCTACTCGTGCGCATGCGTGCTCGGGGAGTCCTCCTTAACACCTCCACAGGGACCATTAATTTAGTTATCCTGCCACTGCTGTCCCGATACATGACAGTTGTATCACATGCACTTATATATCTATCTGCTCCCTTGTTTCTCATTCACCTGATGAAGGAGTAAGAATACATTCCGACACGTCGCATTCCTCAAAACACAAAAGTGGACAAATTCTCGGTTTTTCATATATATCACTTCTAGATGCCCTTCACAAATAATTTTTTTAGGCATTATTGTCATGGTATTTCAAAAGTTAACGATCTATCCCTTGTTGCTCGTCATGCGATTCAAATCAATTCTTAACTAACAAAGTGGAATTATACTAAGCGGTTACATCTGAAAATTCCTCTCAACCGATTTCCAGGTGGGATTTCATATTATATGCGCATATTAGGTTTCTCCTGTATTTTGCTAGTAAAAACGATACGAACTCTGTGTTTCGGCAAGCATTGGATATTCGTAACTTTATCAACTCGTGCAGATATAATTAATATCAGAAGACACGTAATTACAATACTATTTATCATCAAAAATCACCTTTCATTCGTTTTAAATGAAAAATGTACACCTCTGAACACTAGACTTTAAGTGCAGCGATGTCATATCATTGTGGCGTCATCACGTTTACTACATCATCATTTTTTGACGTCATGGGATTTAATCATGTAATTTATGGTGTCAAAGCCTTGTGATCTCATGTAATTGATGGTGTCAATGATTGTTCAAAATCTGCTGTCAAAACCATATTCAAAATGACACCACATTCAAAAATTCAAAATGCCTGGTTTTTAGATAAAGCATTGGCGTAGTACATTTTGGTACAAATACACACGTCTTTAGTTTGTCAAGGGGGTGAAGAGCATGTTTGACGATCCAAAAAATACTGTTTGTGATGCTGGACCTAAGAAATTTTCCAAGCCATGAAATCTGACGGTCATTTAAAACCATTGATATATCTATGGATATCTGAACCACAAACGAAACGCAAAATTTCGTTCTTGCAAGATGGTGTTTTTATTATGATTGTACCAACCGTTTTGTTAGCATGCTTTTCAATCCAAATTGACCGTTATTACCAACATCAGTGTGTTTTCTGATGAAAAAGCAAATCGGATAAACATACCAAACATTTTCGTACGACATTTGTGAAAATGAGATTGCACGTGCATGTCATAACAACCCTACCAATGAAATGAGTCCCAAACTCGCCTGAAATCATTTCTGTTTTGACACAATCACCATGCGACGACTTACGAGAGATCAGAGGAACCAAGTCTAGTGACGATTGTAAGTTGTCCAGACTGCAAGGAGGGTAGCTAATCATTTTAATGTTCATGTTAGGACAATCTACCAACTGCGGGAATGGTATCAGATAACTAACAGCATCCAAGACCGTTCACACAGTAGGCGACATTCAGTAACATCACAACATCAAGACCGACTGATTGTGCGCCACCTTCTGCAGGATCACCTCCCCAGGATGACGGAAACAGCACGTCAGAACATTGGGACTCACAACAGACCCATCAGTGCCAATGCAGTGCGTCAACGTTTGCGCGGAAGAAACCTCTGCTGTCACAGACCCTCACCACTCGTCACCACCAAAACCGACTGCAATTGGCAACTCAGCGTCAAAATTGGCATTATCGACAATGGAGAACTGTGCTTTTATCTTATGAAAGCTGACATTGTGTTTCGACAGTCGATGGCAGAGTGCGAGTATGACAAATGCGTGGTGAACCGTTTACCAATGAGTGTATTCTCGAAAGAGACTTGTGGGGTGGTCCAAGCATCATAGTGTGGGGTGCAATCGGTTCGAACCAGTTAGTTGACACTGTGGTGTTCCAGAATCTTCGTCCAGGATGAGGAAATTACGTGACAGCTACTTGCTATATTGACTAAGTCATAAGACCCCATCATGTTGTCCGACATTAACAGAAATAATATCTTCCAGCAAGACAACAGGTCATGCCCACACTGCCAGAACAACATTGGACTTCCTAAGACAACATGGCACCCAAACCCTACAATAGCCTGCACTCAGTCCGGCTTTAAGTCCAATAGAACACATTTGGGACGAGATTCAAAGAAGACTGAATGACCTCCAACCAAGGCCAACAACTGTGGCTGGATTCGATCAGGCATTTTGCAGAATATGGACCTAAGTGCCTTTGTCCTTCATCAACCAGCTAACTCATCATATCTACAGATGATGCAATGCTGACATCAATGCCCATGGATGAGTCACATGATACTGACCTTGTGGTATCTAAATGGTACCATTTTTGGTGAATTTGTTTGTGTGAAGTCTAAATGTGATTCCCCAAAATGTGTTAACCATAATTGTCAAGTTTGAACTCAGTCCTCCGTTTTGATTGTTAATCAGAGTGAATTAAAGTGTGTACTTTAAGAAACCGCTATTGGTGTGACATTTCTTTTGTGGTTCAGTATAAAAGGTCACGACGGCAATCTAGCTTCATTTAGCTGTGGACCAGTGACCATTTTCATCATAAATAATCCCTAATACAAACTCTTCGTACAAGATGTTGATAAATTGACACGATTTAACATGCTACGAGCTGAAGGGAAAGGAGATCCTAATCATTCAATTATACGTGGAGGAGAAAAATCTGCCATGATGTCTGTGGATCCATATTTGGAACTGTATGGAAGTGTGGAAGAAAAACAAACCAAAAGAAATCTCAGAGCAGCCTTAGATTAATTTTGTTACCCCTACTGAACAAGTGGTCGATAAGGCCAAGGCTGTCATTCAGATGCAGAAGAAAGGAGGATCTAAAGCTGATAAAATGATTTCCTCCTCCCAGACTTTTATGAACAAATGGAAGACGACTTTTTAGATAAAAGCAGTAGACAGGTTCCCTGCCATTTAGATTCAGACCACTATTCAGTCAACAACGTGTCTCATGTGCTATCAAACTTTTTCCAGGACAGACAATATGTTGAGACACAGAAAAAAGAAAGATCAACAACCCTCTCCTCCTCCTCCGACTACCGATGGACCTCCTCCTCCTCTGACTCATCATTGACAACCTCCTCCACCTCGACCTCATGGACCTCCTCTTTTATCAATGGCAACTTGCCAACATCAGCAGCAACAACAACCACATTCATCAGAAAGTACGTCCCAGCCATTGTGATTGGAAGAATAAGGCTACTACATCCTTTCAACCTACTTAGTGAAGCAGCTTCTAGAAGGGCTAGACTAGTGAGAGATCAACGACAACAAGCCATTGGATGTCTAGATGCTGGTCAATGTGCTTGAGTCATTGATAATGACTACAATTGCAGCGTACAAATGATAGAATGTCTTAGATCGCGACACAACCCCACCAACAACACCAATGAAGCCAACGTAGTGGTCGAACCTGTGTAACAACATGTCACCAGGACCGTCATATTGTGCATCAACACCTCTCGCTAACCTAGCCATAGCTCATGTGTTCAGAAAACAAGTGAACGATTGCCACTCAAACCGGCAATATATACCTGAATGCATGCATGATGCATGTGCATCTCGATTTTAATCAGGCATGCATGTTGTGTTTGTGCAGACGCTTCCCTTTTCACACAGAAACACATTTCTAGCCTCAATCTCAAACAATATTTTATTGGACAAAACAGGCTATCCGACCATTATTCGTTGTTTCCTCAAACTTGACTTCCGGTGTATATTAAAAAAATATAGGTTCAAATCCTCCATTGATACTTAAATGTCATCTCCAATATTACGACGTTTCTTGCCTTTCAGTATACATGGCTCCACAAACAATGGCAGCCACTATATAACTCCATTCAAACCTGTGTTTGTCCCTACCTTGAATTTCATAAAGGCATGGCTCGAAAATGATGAGTTTGTGAAACCCAGTGCTGTGAACGTCATTGTGCTTGACGATTTAATGTCAACAACGAGCAAAGATCTAGGCGATACAGATCTGTTTACTGCAGGAAGTCATCATCATAGTCTCTCAGTGATAGCCTTGAACCAAAATTTGTATTACAGTAAGGATCACACACAAAGAAAAAACTGTCATTATCTGCTTCTGTTCAACAACCCTATCGATAAACAACCCATCATGACTTTGGCGAGGCAAATGTATCCAGACAATTATCATTATTTCATGGAGCTGTTTCAAAGGGCTACCCAGAAACCTTATGGATACTTGTTGGTTGATCTAAAACCCCAAACACCTCCCCAGTTTTGACTTTGTCCCAATGCATTCAGTTTAAAAGGAGGCCTCCAAGCTAGGACAATTCAGTTAGAGTTAGACGTTCAGAGTGAGCAGATGTGTGAAGAAAACCTTCCAACAATGCCATCTTGTGATGACTGTGGACTCATGGTTCAAGACGTGCATGATTTGCAAAAACACAGAAAAAATAGTGTCCCGAAAGGTCCTCAGTGGGTCCACCTGGGATACCCCAAGTGGGTTTCAAAATAAGGAGATGACAACTTCTCTGCTTTGAAGAAACCACATCCTCTGGTGGACTCTGACTATTGTGGTCAAGTTTCCTACCCATCAAATTTAGTTTGACAAATTTGAAGTCCTATCAACCAATAATCAGGACTTCACAAAAAGAAAAATGTTAGAAGCCATCGAAATCCGCCACCACAAACCTTTGATCATCCGTGACCACGAATACTACAAACCATCAGCCTATGAAGAACTAATCAAGCTATAGACCATCAAAAGCACCCTGTGTATTTGTTGTTACTACTTAATCCCACTGTTTATTGGCTTCATTACTAAGGCTATTTGTTGTTTTAGTTCCCTACTGTCCTCTTCCAATTATGTACCACTTGTTATTTCTATTACATGTTGTTGTTAATGTTAATCTGCTGCTTGTCAGAACATACCATGTATATATGCTCCTCACCATTTGGTTGTACTCACTCTTAGCTTGATAACGATGTAAGAATCTACATCGAAACGTCGCTGAAAGCAAATAAACCAGAAGTTGTCATCCATAAAGTTGCATTTTTCATTTGTTAATATGTATCATGAAGTGTTTTCAAAACTGTACAAATATAAATGTTGGGTGGAAGACTTGACTGAAGACGACTATGAAGACACCATATCTGAGAGTGACACATTTGGGACATGAGGATGAAGAGGTGAAATGAGACAATGTAATTCACAAAAGATTTTATGTAGGCTTTGGGAGTGCTCCTATCCTAATGTCTACTGAGCTAATAAATATGATATGCAATCTGTATATCTTTCTTGCATGTCTATTTACTGACTGACATTAGACAACTGTTCATTGTGCAATTATGTTTTATCACTGATAAATAATACCAATTCCTGCCTGAACGCTATTTCATGGAATCAACTGAATACCTTGATACGCCCAATTCTTTACACCACGGGTTCTTCACCTCTTCACACATAACAACCCACATAAAATACTATTATCAGTCACAAGAAGCTTACACCAGTATTTAATCATAGTATACTGCCTGTGGAATAAGAGCTGGTAATTGTGCATAAACCATTGAATTATTTCTTTATCTATAACAATCAGGGGTTTTTTTTACCGAACATCCAAATGTAGCCTTTCAATATCCAATTATAAACCCATACATTAGACACAAAAGATAATGTACTGCTGACATTACAACCAAAGTATTATTGTAAATGGAGATAAGGGGCTTTGTACCCTGATCAGTCGATTGCCACTGAGCCTTTAAAAATCGGTTATTATAATGAAAATGATAAAATGAAAAAGTTTGCCTTTTTCCTGGCAACAGCATCCAGTTCTTATACAATATCGTGGAGACAAAGTCGTAATGTCGTGTCTGTAACATCAGTGAGGAAAGTCGAAATGGTATGCAGCTTTGATGGAATACATAAAACACACCAGCCCAATTCAATCAGTCAGTACAACCCTTTATACAAAATTCAAGTGACCCTACATGTTCATCAATTTTGCTATTGAAATGCCCTGAATAAATATGTGTTATCAATGGGGAATGGTTTCAACATTGTGAAAACTATACCCTTTCAAGCCTCTACAGAGTGAGAGTGAGTTAAAATTTTAAGTCACATCGGCAATATTTCAGCCATATCGTGACTTAAGCAAGTTATAAATATATCAACAATTTAAGTGAAAATATAAAATTCTACCAATGAACAAGCCTCTTCAGAAATTGACTTCATCAATTGGTATTTTTAAGAATCATGTATTTGTGATAGAAATGTGAGTTGTGTTGTTGTGCTTAATTTATACACCTCCCATTAAGAATAATTGTATGCAATAATTACTACATAATACACATTCTATTGTATATCTCCACATACTGTAGACAGAAACTAGCCCTGATATGATATCATACCTTCCAGAAGCTTCTGCATAATGAGGGTCTGTTACCTGGGGCAATCTGGACCCAAGAGTGTGTGCCTAATTAGGTTAGCCACCTGTGTAATGAGTCATACCTTCTAGAATAGTCTATGACTCTGAGCAGTGAGGTCATACATATCACAGACCTGTGTCATGAGGTCATGCTTCTAGATGATTCCTAACCTATGCATAATGTGGTGATTCGGGTGTGTATTTTTTGTCACCCAGGGGCATCATTTAAAAAAAAAATTGCGGATTTCTGTCTTAAACCCCTACGTTTTTGATTCTTTGAAAGTGTTTGATTTCTTTAATAATATTTACATACGAAATTGACACATTTAGTGTAGTACACCATATTTTAAACCTTTACACAAGTGTTAGGAGATCAAATGTTTCCATAACTGCAACATGCAGTTAAGTTCCTATGATGTACAATATTCAATGCATTGGGACTAATATTGCGGTTCCATTTGAACAGATAAATGAACAGCGATTAAATTCAACTTTTTTAAATAAAACTGATAATATTAATGAAAATGACTTAGACATTTTATAAACATGTATATTTAAAGGAATTGTCTTGTTCACTGAATTTGTACCTTTTTATAAACACAACAATGATGTATATTGATTGGCCAGGTGCCAGAAATGTTTTATGATTCGCTATCATTATTTACGATAATATAATCAATTCATATTCGATTAAAAATTTCTTGATGACAGCAGATCAATCTCTAACTATATTTATACGAAAATTGTTTAGAAATATATAAACCATCTCTTAAACCTTACATCCAACTTCTTATACTAGTAGTTCTATACAAAAGTGGCTATCTTTATGCATCATTGCAAACTTATGAAGAGAAATAGCTACATAATCATAAACAAAGAAAATTCTTATCTTATAAAAAGTATTCGGGTGTTTTGAATAATTACATTTGATATAAGTTAAATTGATGCCAAGTAGGTGCGCGTGTTGCTCACAATAAGATACACACTCAAATTGTTGATATATTCAGTACACTATTTAAATGATAAAATAAGTCATTTTATGTATTGTCTAAAGAGTGTGCAATTTTCACATAGAAACCGAGACCTTTTATAAAATTCATGGAAATTAGGTGAAATATATTGTCACCAGAGAACCAGGGTGTTCTATCTCCACTTTTTGAAAAAAACATGAGTTTAGGTTTTCTGGGTACTAGAACTTGCTATGGTGTATTCTTTCCCCAAATAAATTTCTGTAGTTGTATCTAGCTTAGAAAATGTTTTTTCAGACACACAAAATCATATCTATCTATCTATCACAGAAAACAGATGATTTAGAACAGTATAGCCGGAGAAATTCAATTAGAATTGCAGGCATTACTGAGAACGTGGGAGAAAACACTGACGAACTGGTAACAGAAGTGCTAAAAACTGTACACCCGGACATCCGTATCTCGGATATCGACAGGAGTCACCGAATAGGCAGGAAACATTCGGGGAAACGACGAGATATTATCGTCAAGTTTGTGTCCTTCTGGGATAAACGACAAGTCATCATCAACAGGTCAAAACTGAGAACAAACAATCCAGGAGTGTACATAAATGAAGATCTCACGCAACACAGGAGCAAACTTTTCAAGTGCACGAGAGACTTGATGAAAAGAAAACAAATTGAGGCGACATGGACACGCGATGGACGAGTTTACATTCTAGAACAGCCAGAGGGAGCAACTCACGTGATTTCGTGTGAGACCGACCTGAATAAATATAAATAGAACTTAATTGGATCACCTGGACAATATGTGACTGTACTAAGTGTGTTATCCACTCAGTTGTACATATCCTGTAAGTAGACTCAATGTAAATATGTATATGCGAAACTATTGATGTCCACAATGATGATTTAATGTCTTATGTTCCTTGTTCTATGTGTCGTTGGCTATTTGATAGGATTTTGTGTTGTTAGGAATCCCTTGATATTTAGTCTCCTCCTCTCTATCTCTATCATACCATTCCAATCTCTTTGTTCCGACTCTATCAGCTCCATTCTTCAAGTACTATCAACCATCTGTAAACGTGTACTTATCTGTACTCGTTCTATTTCCCCTATATATGGTGTGATCACAC